AAATATTGCGGTTTCAGGAGCAGGGCTTATCTCTCTGCCACAAATGTAAGAAAAAGTATCAAAAATTAAAGACCAGAACTGTATCAACTTTGGGCAAGCCCAGAACATATGACAGAGGGTGGCTGGAGCCTGACAGCATCGTGAACATGTCGGATCGACCTCTGGGTATATCCTGGCAAGCCTACTCCTTGATAGATGAAGCCTGTGGAGCACCTTAAACTGGAGCAGACCATGTCTCCCTCTCTCTCTTTTACCTCATCCTCTTTTTCTTATCCTTGTTGTCCTTAAAACTCCTCCTCTCTTCACCCTTTCTTTCTTTCTTTGCTTCTTCCAGACCCAGAGCGCCCCCCGGTGATCTCGGTCTCTCAGGACTGGTTTCCAATCCTGGACAAGGTCTTTGGTCAGAAGTGGTGCAGTGACGTCTGGCAGATTAAAGAGCTCGCTGGAGCAGGCAGAGGTGGGAGGGGTGTGAGTGAGGGTGGGGTGGAGCAGATGGAGCCTCCCCCCGCCCCCTCAGTGACCCTGGAGCCCTCCCCTTCATCCCCCCAGCAGGACCCCCGCTGGACTCCTTTGGAGGACATGGAGGTGTTTTCTCCCGACGACGATGCCACAGACGGTCAGATGAGCACCAGGAAAGGAGACGACACCGCCACCACTGGACCCTCCCCTGGACCCCCCCCCAGCCCTACAGGAAAGGGAGGAAACTTCACTGATAGACCTGCCGCCCACTTTTCAGGTGAAATTACTACTCAGTTCCCATGGTAACCACAGTCACGACACACTCAGCATCCTGTCCGTCCATCACAGCGCTGACTTAAGTTTTAAAATATAACTTGACTTCATTGCCCCCCCCCCCCAGGGTCATCTGGTCGTCGCTCTTCAGCGTCCATGCTTCACCGTCTTCTGACTCTACCGTCTCAGCTGCTGGAAGAGGATGATGAGGACACTGGTGCCAACGAAGCTCTGGCTGCTCTGGCCAATAACGGTGCCGACTGCCGAGATGATGCGGAACCACCGGGCCAGACCTGCCTGTCGCCCCTGACAACCAGAGAGGAGGAAGAGGAGGAGGAAGAGGAGGAGGAGGACAAAGGGAGGAAGGTGAGGAGGACTAAAGGAAACTTCCTGTTGCAGTTCTTTCAGTCAGCAGCTCACACTTTGTTTAACTTTATTTATCTTGAACTTGTAACAGAGACAGATCTGTTGTGACTGTGATTAGATTTTCTGTGGATTGATTGACTGATCAGGATGCAGCTCTTATCTGCTGTCGTCTCTCCGCAGAAGAAGAGGCGGAGGGTTTGGTCCGAGTGCGACGAGTGTGGGCGGCGGTTCAGTCGCATGTCCCTCCTGAAGGCTCACCGTCAGACCCACTTTACTGAAATCACTGGTGCTGACACGTCGTCCCCCTCGTCTCCGCCCGACAGCGCCACATCAGCATTACGCTGCTCAGACTGCGGCAAGAGGTTCTCATCTGCCACCCGCCTCCACAGCCACATCCGGACCCAGCACCCCGGGAACCGGGCCTAAAGCTGGCCAGTCTCCTGGGCTGAACTGGAAACAGAAACGTCAGCGGACACTAACCGTCAACAGAGGAGGAGCCACCGACCGAAGAGTAGATCAAAACTCCAAAAAGAAAATCTCAAATGTCTCCTGACTCTTCGGCTGCGACGTGACCTTCAACTCCACATTCTTCAAAGTGATGGTACAAACAGGGGTAGACCGATTTCTAGATCTGTGAAACAACATCACACACATCTGGTTCAAATCTAGGGATCAGGATTAATCAGGAGTAATCACAAGAATCGACTCATCAATATGAGAGCATTTCTTTTAAATTAGACTCAACACCTCAAATATATGGATCAAAATGCAAAGATTCATTAGAAACTAAATATTTATATCAAATAATAATCATCTCACATCTAGGCCACTCAGAAAAACAGTTTTTACAAAAACAAATGAAACTTGACCTAGTGTAGATAATCAAGTGATTCTTAAACATTTCCACTGTGACGCATCAGCTCCGACAATTCATTTGCAAAGACTGCAAAAATAAACTCAACTTCCAGAATGAATGACGTCACAGTGTCAAATATAAAAGACCTCGATGTAACTAAAGCAGTCAATTGAAAACAATCACGATAATCATAGAAAATGTAAAGAAGAGAAAATGATCAAATAAAATCGGTCTATCCCTCATCATTGATACTGATAAGAACCAATTAGTGTCTGTGGTGGAAGGTCACATGACCCCCCCCCACCCAAAACCCCCCCCCAAACAAACAAAAAAAAACTTGCACAACTTGAGTCCATGAAGTTCGGACGCTGATCAATCCGAATCTCGTTTTCTTTCCAGCTTCAGTAAACACAAACACATCTCACGCGGGTCCAATGTGAAGAATAGGTTGTTTTTGCCAGAATCGATTCCTGCTCTGAGCAAAACGTCAAAACTTCAGAGGAAATAAAATCCAGTTGAACAAACGGGAGAAAACGCAGAGACGAGGAGTTTGACCTCCTGCTGTAAAACATCGACAAACCTCTTTTGGGCGGGAAACGAGCGCCGGCTGCTGCATGGGATTTTAAAAAAAAAAAGCTCCTCCCCTTAGCGTTCGAATGGTCGGAGTGTCGTTTCCCGTTTCCTGACTGTGACAGTTTTAGTTTCTGGTGTTGGGCGTGTATAGCGAGGACAGTCGCTCCCACAGGAACAAGTGACCTGTGACTTTCACACCCCTTTTTTGTAAGTGGCCTTTTTTTGCTCCAGACTCCACCTCTTCTTCTTCTTCTTCTGTTTTTTTGATTATTGTTGTGTTTTCGACATTTTTAGCATTTTTAGACGTCTGAGGATTTCTGGTGTCAGCGCCTGTACAGGAAAACAAACGTCGTCAGTGGCCTCGTTTGTTTGGACTCGTTGAATGTGAATCAGCCGTTTAATGATTTTTACGTTTAATGTACAGTTTTTACTTTTCAAACAAAACTGATGATGAAACTAGAGAATCGAAGGTTTTGAAATCTTCTTTCCTTTAGTTCAGTAACCTCACGTTAACACACGGATACCTCCCGACACACAACCTGAAAACGCTTCTTCGCTTCAGCTAACTTCACCCAGTCCATGTATGGAAGAACAGCTCTGCCACTAAAAGAAAAAGGAATTATATCCAAACCAAATTAAACATCCAAGTGATAAGATTCTAAATCTGAATGTTGAGATCATGAGTTTGAATAAAATTATATTTTTGAAAAAGGATGACATAATTGATTTACACTATTATATATTTATTTTAATTTCTTACTTTGTAATCTGTCAAATGTTTTTTTTCTTTTCCTGGCAGAATTGACTACCATATATAAATGAGATTATAAAAACATTTGTAGTTTCAAAATTCTTCAGACTTTCTTCTGTCTGGTTTAAGCCTTTTTAAATACGACAAACAAGAAAGCAAACATGTTTTTTTAAGACGTATCTCAGAGCGAAACGGTTTATTTCTCTTTTTGTCCGATCAGCTGATTTAAGAAAAAGCACTTATGAATATGACAAAAGTTCGGACGCGTTTATCAGAGTATTATTTCCACATCGCTTGAACTTCAAACGATAAGTTGTGATGAAATGAATCCAGAGGTGCAGGCGACTCGACGACTCGATGAAGAACTGTCACGACACTGGAACCAAAAAGATCAAAGAGAAACAATCTTAATATTTTTCTAACAGATTCAGAAACGAACGTTGATTTGATCCAGTGACGTTCAGAATCACGGCGTCGCTACGACACGTGTGGGCGATAATATTTTTATACCCCCCCCCCCCCCCAAAAAATAAGGAAAAAAAGACTTTAAAAAAAGAAGTCTGACATTCACCTTTACTGTTTAGGCAGACTTAAGGTTTCAAAGGGCCGGCTGTTGCCATGGCAATCAAAGCCAATATCAGTATTGGAATGCTTATATATCTTTTATTTTCTACTTATTGTTATATATATGCATTACTGCAAAAGAAACAAATAAATAACCTGCGTAGGGTTACCAGCAGCATGATCAAGTGATCATGTAAAAAAACACAACTTCCATATTTGCGAAGACAAGCGTCAAACAATCTCGTGTCCAGAAGATCAATCTGCAAACATTTTAAAGGGAAAGTGAAATTCATACATGAGACGCAAATCACACTAAAATCAAACTAAGAAAGAAGTGGACACGACATTTTTCACACTTGTTTGAATCCTTCCTTCGTTTTCATCCGTTGGATTGTAGCGACCGGGGATAAAGTAACGATGATTCAGAGCAGGAAATAAATTAATCCAGTTCATCCTGGTAACGCTCACAAAGCTTCGGCGTGCGCGATGGTCTGATTCTGTCGTTTTCTGCTTGTAAATGTGCAGACTGAGACTTTTTCTAGTGAAAACTTGCTTTTTTACTAATTTTGAAGCAATATGAAGCTCAAACTTCACTGAGTGGCAGAGAGTTTGATTTGTTGTTGAAGAAAGCACAGTTGCAAAAAGTACAAAAATGATTTGCAACGAAAAAAATCAAAACCACCTGCGAAAACCTCCCGACTCGGCTCAACCTGAAGGTTTGATTTCAGTGAATCCTGACTCCCGTTAGCTCGATAGCTTGTCTTTGCCTTTGAAGGTTGCTTAAATAGCTAAAGCTTGTCGTCTGCTTCGCTAATATCTGAATTAGCCAACTGCTTTTCTGCAAACTCTGAGCATCACGATGTGATTCGTTGCACTTTCAGTTTAAACTCGTGTTCACATACCTCATTTTTTGTGACTTATTTCAAGTGTTAGACTTTTTTTCATCTTTCCACACAAACCTCATTACCTCACAGACGTTCAACGTCGACATGTGACCACAGTAACGTGTTGATTTTATTTTGTCTGTTTCAGTTTGGATGCGTCTCAGTTTCTGAATCTAAGAGTAAAAACCACACGACCACACGTTTCTAGAGTTTGATTGACACAAATAAAAAAGAAGTAGAGAAGCTCATTAATGCCAAGACAAGGAAAGATCATTTTTATGTTCTTATTTTACTTTAGATCCTTTTTGCTTCTTTTCCTGGGCCTGTTCATTTTACCCTTAACAAAGGACATTTAAAGTAAATTAAAACTATGTGATCAAACACAGGCATTAAATTAAAGAATAAGGATATAATCAAAAGTGCAGAACAGAAAAGTGATGATAAATGCACCAAACATGAGTCAGCAGATTTTCCGTTGTGTGGTTTTTACAGAGGCCGTGTCACTGTTCGGGTGATAAAGGAAGGGAACCTCATATCTCCAAACATCAGCTGCTGCTGGAGATGAACGCTGCACATAAAATTAAACAAAGAAAGAAACAGAACATTTGATAAATGGCGGTTTTGAGGTTTCTTTTCTGACAGCAGCTGCATCACGTGACTTGTTAACCAATCAGAGCTCCTCCTGCCTTGTTTACAAAACCATAACACAGAGAAATGCATTAAGTTGAAACTACACAAAAGGGAAAAATACTTAAGAAACAAAGTCCTGAATATCAGTTTTAATATTATTCATTTTTTCACAATTAAAACAAAATCTGAGAATTACTATGCAACTATTTTTGATTTTTTCAATTTACATGGACATTTTACTAAAATTACTAATGAAAGACATTTTGAGT